CCCTGGGGCTCCAAAGGCTGCTTATTTGAAAGCTTTTGGATTGCGTAGGAGGAAAACTTAACCTTCTCCGGAACAATGGTCCACGTTAAGGATTTTCGAAGACATATACCTGTACAATGAATTGCATATACCCAATGCCAGCTTCCAATGAATTGCATACCCAAGATACAAGATATATCAGTATGCAATGAATTGCATACCAGCATCCATAATCCCAACTAATAAAGAATGCAATGAATTGCATATACCCAAGCTTGGCGCCAGGGCCTTTGAGCAAAGGATAATATGTTGAGCCACAAAAATTTGAGCCTTTAGGGTTTAAGGCTTCGGGTTTAGTTTGGGTGTAGGGGTGTTAGGGTTCTTGTAGAGCCTGGAAGTTCGTACTTTACTAGGTTTACTCTTTTAATTCATTCACACTGCTTTAAACTTTATAGACAATATACAATGCAATGATCTTCTGTTGGTTACACGATTTTGGGTCTGAGGTTTCTTGATCCAATCATCATTTCCGACTGGGATCGGGGATGGGTCTTGCTTATTTTAAGGTTGGGCTTGTAGACTTTGAACCTGAATCCCGAACTTAATATCCAAAACGGGTTTAGGGCTTGGGGCTTAGGGGTTTAGGGTTTAGGTTAATCCGACCGACCCTTCGATTCATTTCATCTCGCATCGCACGAGGTCACCGCTCGCGACAGCAAGCCCCCAGACGAAGCAGAAATCGCGAAAGCAATCGATATTCCATCAACCGACCTCGGCACAAGTATATTAGGGCGACCAAGCCTGAAGCTTTCGGAGAGGCGGAAAACTCTATTATTCAAAAGCAGTGCTAATTTATCCCAGAAGTCCTGGCATGCCCACGCATAGCCGTTTCCATTGCCCTATAACGTCTTCGTCGACGTAGGTGTGTAGATATCTGGGGTTGTACAAAAACTTTTTCGCATTCTCCCCGACGTGTCGTAGCATCTCGGTAGGAGACGGGAATATATTCTTATTATAGTTTATTGCTCCGAGTTACATATATATATACACACATATATATAACACAATGTTGTCAGCTGCTCGGTGGCATGATGTTTTGGCAAACACTTCCACCGGAACAGGTTGTGCCGCACTGCGTATCTTGCCAACGACTCATACATCCGAAGATAGCTGCAAGTAGCATCGAGGATTTCTTCAGCTTGCCTTTCGAAAATCGAACCCGGGGAGATAACATAAGGCATACATTAGTGAAATCATATACTAACTAACTGTAGCAGCCCAGTGTCTCAAGTGTGAGGAAGCGAGGTGCAGTTTCTTGTGCATGAAACCAACGCACGAGTGTGCGCGTAGCCAGGATAGCCATCTCCACTTCAGCATCTTGATGCAAAAGTTGCTTTCCCAGGGCTTCGATGCACACAAGCAGAAATGCCACAAAGATGCGGCCGTTGAATGCTTTTAATGTGAGTGTAGCAAAGCTGCCTGGTTTCCCCTCGTGAAGCATGCCAGCTGTTAACCACGGCACAGAGTGCCTACGTATACCGAATCGAAAGACACCGAAACTTTAAACATTCTTAATTATTTATTGGTTTTCATGCTAGCATATGTACGACTATAGCTCGAACAAACAAAATGCAATATTGCCCAGTGACTCAAGCCTGTTGCCAGAAGCCCAGACACGGAACCGGGCTGTGGCCCGATGAAGCTTCTCAGCAATTTGGCCAACACCAAAGAATCCTCGGATCAATTCAGATATTTGTGAACCGGAATTCGCGTAAACCAGACGAAACGATTAAGTACCTGAAACAACAGCGTAAGAAATTACTGTCCTAGGATTAGCAGCAAGGGGCCGTGCTGACACAGAAGCTGGACCAGGGCCCCGTTGTGGCATTGTAATGTTCCCAGGTTTACACAGTGCATCGTGCACGGGTGTATGTGTTCAACAGTAAACCCCACACATGCGGTAAGTGGGTTCAGATCACCCATGGCATTGACCAGTGCATCCTCGTTGGATCGTCGTTCGAACTCGCTGTCCAAGGAAAGGTCCCACCTCTAGCTATCTATAGGGCTCTAAGGGTTTAGGATTTTAGGGTTTAGGGTTTAGGGTTTTAAGGTTTTAGGGTTTACGGTTGTCGGGGCATTGCGCTAGACCCAACATTTACATATAATATATACATCATAGTGATCATATAGATTAAGAACAGCCAGCAGGCGCTTCGGAACCAGAGGCTCTTGCTTTGCACATGTGGCAAACCTTGGGGACAGTAGACCAGTATGCAGTCATGTTGTAGAATTGAACCGCCCACTTCCAGTCGCCACGATGCTCGCAAAGCACAGCTTTCGTTCCTCCTGGAGTATGCAACCCGAGCCCTACTCGAAACCCGAAATTAATGCCTTATAAATTCTAAAATAGCACCCTNNCTAAACCCTAAACCCTAAAAAAGAAGACCCGATCTGCAACCGAACGACACCCATTATAATCCAGGTATGCATCTAGCTAGGAACGTGGAGTGTATAGCACCTCGCTAGCCCGAGCAAGCTGCGACTCGAGTAATACATTATTGAAGAGCCTTCTATCCCACGTCGGTATCAGTTGACAATAACTTGACAATACAAAAAATCTCTGAAGCCATGTCCATTCCCTTATATTACTGCTGAACCTTCTGCTGCTGGCCTACACTACATCGATTCGAGACTTGTCCTGCAATAGGACGTCCAGCCAACTCAGCCTTTTCGCGTGGGAGCTTGTTTCCGTCCACGTCATATGATGGGTGGAGTCCATGGTAAAGAACCTAGCAATTCAAGTGTTCCAGTCGATCGTACCCTGCACCATCAAAACACTAAATAAACTGCTGGCATGATCAGGATGGAATGATTGCTGCTTCTGCGACGAGCTGCGTTTACGCTCCACGCCAGCACACGGCAAACAGGAAACAGTGAGCGGTTGCCTAAATTTAGATATTCTCTCAGCGTGAATATCGGATAGCGTTTGATCTCCCCAGCTGTAGGCTCGTGCAAAACTGCATTGAGAGAAATCATGACGATTTTGTCGCCTCCCTTTGTAAACCTTGCATCGTCTCCATAGATGCCTAACGGCACCATCCCGAAGCCATGTGGCTTGTACCCGAGCCCTGCCTCCTGCCTTTCCCAGTAGCTGGCCAAATCTTCAGGGCTGATTCGAAGCAGGTTGTTGTCCTCGGCTTGATAATATTGCACGGTGCAGTGATAGTGTACACTGTATGCACACACATTCGAAATAGCACATGTGTACACATGCATGCCAGGCTGCGTGCAGGAAGGCAAACAACTCGTGAGGCATGATGAATGGGACAGAAAGTTCAGCTTCAGTGCTTCTGTCGATTTCGGAGTAGATCGGAATCTTGATGAAATGCAGGTCCTCGGCTACACGTAACCAAATCCAGGCTAGAGGTTTCCGGACGTGACAGAATAACACAAGTTTATTATAATTACTATTGCGAACGTAGTTACAAGCGGCAGATTAATAGCACGGGCAATGTCGCGAGCAACGTTTTGGCGGTGCTTGCCACAGGTACCGGCAGCTGCCATTTTCTGAGTCAGAAGCGAACCCTTGCCCCCCGACTCCTGCAGCATGGCCTGTGCAGCTTGTTGCAGGTCTGCTGCACTGCTAGCCTCGGATTTTAGTTGAGAACAAATTACTGTTATAACGAGAACAGTCTTTTATTCAACTCTCGGACGACTAAACCGGTGTAACTAAACCGAATCCCAGGTTGCTGCAGCTGCCGAGATGCGAGACACTTTGAACGACGAAGTTGCATCAATGGGCTTAGGGGTTTATACATCAACCCTAAACCCTGAAATCTTAACCCTCAAACCCTAAACCCTAAACCCTAATCCCTGAAACCCTAAACCCTAAACCCTAAAACCTGAACACTCAAACCCTAAACCCTAAAAACCTCAGGCTTATGGCCTGGGCCTAAGGGTTGGGTGGGGTTGTAGTATAGCACCCAGTTCAACACCGAATGCATCTGCGAGGTTAGGGGGTTTCGGGTATTCGGAGGGTTGAATTATTGCTAGATTAGTGCAGTCGCACTAATGACATTTGTGGGGCGAATGCTTTTGTTAATGATGAGTATATCAGAATAATGAAGCTCGTATATATACACAGTGCAGGGTTTCGGGATCCAGGTTTCGGGGCTTGGCTTAGAAATTAGGGCTTTAGGGTTGCACCGGCTGTATACAGGGTACTAGGGTTCCGGAGTCTTAAGGTCTAGGGATTTAGGGTGTGTAAAGCTTTAGTGATTTTTGATGTTACTGTTTGGGGGGTTGTTTTTGGTGCTCTAGAGATTTTGGAGCTTTGTTCAAGATTTCAAGGCTTTTTCGGGCTTTCGGATCACTAGTTGACTTTAACATGACCAAGATCCTAGAATCGTCCTAGAGGCACCCACTCCCAAGGACTTCAAGAGGTAGTCGGCGAAGGCAGTGTCATCACCTGCGCGAGGGTTGGCTTCCCTAGATCTGACATTTTTCAATATTCAGAGCACCGACTATTAATGTGGGATCCCATTCCTTTTTTACTCAGCAAGCACAGGATCTTGTGAAGGCTCCAGCATTCCCCGGCTTTGTGATCATGATCTTGACACCTACATAGAACCTAGATTCGAACTGGAAGCATAACGAGCAGCTTCAAGCAAAACCTTCCAGCACGTGACAAAAGCGCCCTGACATCCAAGGCATTGGAAAAGAGCGGCTGCGGTGGCCCAGCTGTGACTCGGCCGGCTCAGGCAGCTAGCGGTTTGGCCTTGGCCTTGCTTTTGCTCTTGGATGATGCGGTTTTCGGCTTCGCGAGGTGCACCTTCACATGTTTCGACTGGGTCACATAGGTAGAATTCGCCTGCGTCAGAGCCATAGTTAGCTCCTCCAGTGGCTGACCTTTCTGGCCCGTAGCCACAGCTGCCTAAGCGACAATTATGAATCGGGCTAAACTAAGCAGTCAGGTAGATCGTGAAATCGAAGCTAAGATGCCTCGAGGTTGGTACGGTGCTCGGAAATGAAAGCATGGTGTTGCATCATCGAAGAGAGCAGGGCATCCATCAACCCCTTGTCCCTCAGTGCAGTTGGGTTTTAAGATTAAGGGTTTCAGCTATTAGTTAGATAAGACTCCATCATCAAGACTACTGCACGACAAGCAACACTCCATTCTCCTGGAGTTTCGTCTTGTAGCCCTTGATCTCCAGAAGATAGCCCGAGGCCTTGTTCATAGCCTCGGTCACACATGCTCGGCATGAGCATTGTATATATACCTAGACCTAGATCATGTCGAAGCAATGAGAAACTATACCAAGCCCGTAGGTTACAACCGCAAGCCAACCCTAAACACCAATCCCCGAACCACAAGCAGCATCGACAGCCAAAGCCAGGCTTGCTTAATTTAAGGGGTGTTTAGGATTTATCGTTTAGGGTTTAGGGGTTTAGGGTTTAGGGTTTGGGGGTTTAGGGTTTAGGGCTTAGGGGGTTTAGGATTTGGGGTTGTAGGTCTAGGGTTTGGGGTTTAGGGGTTGAGGGGTTTAAGGATGATTTTGGGCTTAGTTGTTACTTTCGCCACGGGGCAGTCTTGGCTAGCTGTTCGGTCGTTTTTGCTTTGACATCTTTGGCCTCCTTGATATAGCGTTTTTTCATCTCTTGTTCCGGCGAAGGCTTCTCATCAGCATCCTTCTCGGGCTCCGGTTCGAAGTCAGGTGCTTCAGCTTCTCGTTCGTAGCTCCAACTGACTTCCTCCGTTTCAATCTCCTTTTCTGTTCCCGACACCCAGCACTTGTATAGACGCATGGCCTGAGGGCTAAGACTGGTTTCCAGAATTTACTCGCGAAAGTCACCACTCCCCGCCTGATCCTTTGGGAAATCAGGATGCGGCTTGTGCAAAGCCACGTCTTGCTCCTGCTGGAAGCGGCATCTTATTGGACTCGAGGCCGTTGGCTTAGGGACCGGGGCATATTTAAAGATATTTGTTGTCGAGTGTGCAATACATGTACATATCAAATCCACATATACTTTTATATATGTACACTTACATATATATATATATACACACACACATATTATATATTCCTGTATATGTGTTTCAATATATTTCCTTATCATTGTTTGCTCTCTCCTCTGGCTTGTCTAAGTCTACGGATCTGTGTTCACTACGGTGTTAAGACTTAGAGCTTTTGGGGGATTGAGGACTTCGAGGTACTCAGGGTTGGGGTCGGGGTTTGCAATTTTTCTTGTATTCTGTGTTCGCGGTTTTAGGACTTTGGGCTTTTGGGTTTTGGGCCAATGGTATTTCGTGTACAGCATGTGACTAGTGCAATGCACGGGTGCTGTCCTTCTCTGCGATCAGACTGTCGGCCCTGGCTTGCGGGTACTTCAGCTCGATCTCCTGCAACGGGTTTCATGATTCGGGTTCGGGCCTTGTACCTTAAATTATATGTCAGAAAGTTTAATCGAAAGGACCTCGCGAGTCCACCAGCACCAAACGCCCTCTTTGGCAATGGTCTTTGAGAGCTTTGACAAAGCCACGATCCGAGAACTGCCCCAGGACTCGCCCGCTAGGATAAACTCGCGGAATAGCTTGCCGATTTTCGTAGTGTCTTGGCTATATAGGCTTAGGGTTTAGGGTT